AACAATAGTCAGCGCTGGTCTGATAAACAGCATATCATGGCGACCTGTGCTGACTTTGGCATCAGACCATCTGCCCATAGTCATCTCGATCAATAAACCAACCGACTTTGCTTCCGCGGAACACCGGACCTACATATATCAACTTTTCTAAAGCTGATTGGAAAGGCTTCGCGGAATTTACTGAAAACACCTTCGCTGCTCTCCCCACACCAACCGACGTCCACCTTGGTAAACGTAAGTTCCGCAGGGCTGTCACCGCTGCTGCAGCTCGCTTCGTACCGGCAGGATGCATTACGGACACGCGTCCAAATTTCCATGCCGAAGCGGCTGTTCTAGCCGATGAGCGTGACAGACTTCGTCAGGCCGATCCCGGAGATCCCCGTATCAGGGATCTCAACGCGGAGATTCGGCAACTAGTGAACGTACATAAGCGGAAGAAGTGGGAAGAGCATCTGAAGACCTGTAACTTCACCTCTGGTGTGAGTAAGCTTTGGTCAACTGTGAGGTCACTGTCCAATCCGACGAAGCATGACGACAGAGTCGAAATTTCTTTCGGCGACCATGCTTCGTCAGACCCGGAGCGATGCGCGAGCTATTTTAGCCGGCAGTTCATACTGCATCCTCCGGTGGACAAAGCCAAATGTCGAGTGACCAGAAGGCTGCACAAACTGCCAACAACTTGTGCCCCCCTTGCTTTCACTTGCGGTGAAGTTCAGGTAGCCATCGGGAAGGCGAAAGCCTCCAAAGCCATGGGTCCCGACGGAATATGCATGCTGAAGCTGAAAAATTTCGATCCTGCGGGAGTAGCGTACCTAACGGAGGTCCTCAATTTTTCAATGGCCACTCTCATCATCCGAGACATTTGGAAGGTGGGGAGAGTGGTCCCACTGCTCAAACCGAGGAAACCGGCCAACAAAGGAGATTCGTATCGACCGATAACACTCATTTCCCCGGCAGCGAAGACACTTGAGGCCTTGCTGCTCCCGTATTTCACGAACCACCTGACCCCAGCGAAGCATCAGCATGGTTTCCGTAAAGTGCACAGTACAACAACAGCACTTAACGCCATAAACACTCAGATAACTCGTGGCCTTAACAGTAACCGTCCCTGTGAGAGAACGATTCTAGTAGCGT